GTACAAGTCGGATATGAATTCATATAGCAAAATTCGAATATAAATTCATTTGAAAGAGCACGAGTGCGGTAAAGTACACTCTCGTCTCAAAATTTCAAATTTTCATAACGGATAAGAAACAGATAACCACTTAATATCAAATTCATGCACTTGACACTCACCAATCGAAACAAGGGAGTAAGTGCGTAAACGAGCCTTTAGGTGTTCCCCTCGAGATCCTCTTGTAGGTCTCCTTGAGCACCTGAGCAAATAGTAATTGTCTATTACACACTATCGCTTAAAACCCCTAATTATCGAGGAAGATTGCACACTTGTACAATCTAAAAAAATTTCACGAAAATGAGCCTTAATTACTCGTAAATCGAGGCTAAAAAATGAGGTTTTAAAATACAAGTGAAATCTGATTTTCATCTTTGAAATCAAGTGTAAAACGGTTTAGCAATATCGAAGGAAAATAGAGAGTTCGCAACCCTCAATTTCCTTTAAGTTCGGAAATTTCAGATTTGTCACCCATATTTTGAAAAATCGTATCTCATTCTCTACAATTCCAAAATTGAAAAACTTAGTGCCATTGGAAACTACTTCCAAAGTACTAAAAGTTCCTAGAAGACACTTTTCCATGATTCTAATTGGAAAATATTCGAAATTTAGCCCAAAATTGCTGTTTTAGAAAGTCAAGACAGATTTGGGTTGATTTTTGACAAAGTTTGAAAATTCGGCAAAATTCATACAATTAAAGCTAGCCTCTGAAATTTGGAACTCTATTAGAGTTGTAATCCAGGTTTAAAACAAAATAAGTGGAATGAGAATTGAAGTTTCGAGCACCAAGATATGGTAGCTCAAAGTTACCCAAATTTCCTTGTTAAACAAGGGTTTTCCAAAATCACGTCACGAACTTTGGAACTTTAGTTGAGCAATGAAACGGCCTCGGAATAATACCAAAATTAGCAGTATAATACTACCATATAAGGGTTGTTCCTCTACCAAATTTCATGGAGAAATAAGCACAGAAAGTGGGTTAACAAAACCGTTGAAATCACAAGAAATTCTAAGGCTAAGTTGCCTTTGAACTTCCGTTTTGTCGTTTCCAAACATTTGGTCAAGGAACATCTCAAACATGGTTCATTCCATTAGAAAATGTCCAAAATATTTTCAAGGTACATTCGATAGATGATTTACAATAAGAAACTTTGGATAACAAGTCCCAAACCGTAGTTAGTTTCAAATCTGTCCAAAACACTGTTTTCGTTCACAAAGTCAGTTTTGAATTTCAATCATAAATCACTCAATTCAACTCAGAATTGAGAATGGTTGGCAGCGTTAGAAAATAGACTCATAAGGCTATATTTTCTCAGAAGAAACTATTTTCAAAATCTATCCATAACAAGCTCATACGTGAGCATCAAATCACAGTTCATAATCTGCCTCCCAGTGACAAACGAAACAGGACAGCAATTTTTAAACGAATGGTTTGGCTCACTCGAGAGGAACCAGAATGTGTCTTTTATACCAAATGAAAGCTGGGAATGTCTAGTTTCCATTTCCACAAACGGCACTCAAATCTGACATCGGAGAGATGAATTATAGCCGAAACAAGATGACTGTCTGGTAGTGACGGGAATCATTTTCCAGTTTTCAAAACTTTGGAAATCACTTCATTTAACCAACTAAATCATATTATTTTTCCATGAAACTTTTTACACAATCAGTATAACATGTAAAAAACATAAACAAGCCATTAGAACCTCAAAATCTTGTACAAAAGTGGTTGAACAAACCAGGGGCAAAATGGTCACTTTTTCCCTTTGCACCTCATTTGAGTTTCCATCAATAACCCAACATTAATCCACCAATATAAGCACTAAACCAACATTACTTTCATCATCAATCACCAAATCAGTCCATATACCCAAGGTGGGAGTTTATAGAGCCCACACGACCAATTTTCCATCACAAACAAGCTACCCATAAACATGTAAGGGCTTAAACGTGCATTACTACTTCCATGAAGCGAGATTTGGAGAGTTGATCGGGCTCACCTTCTTAGATGCACAAGGACAGAATTTTCGGTCCCCTCTTGGTCCAAGAAATTCATGAAAACAGCCCCTCCTTCTTAGCTAGATACAAACTCCAAGGGTTAAGCTAGTGTAGTTCAATTTTTGTGTGATTTGGTGATGTTTTGTGCAAGAAATGAAGAGGAAAAATTTGGAAGCTTGGAGTTGTTCTTCCTTCCTCCTTGGCCGCTGGAATGAGAGAGGGAAATGAGAGTGTTTGGCCGGCACTTGAGGTGAGAAGAGAAGGGTTTTGATCTGGTGTGATGCTCCCTTGAGAAGCCTAAGAATGTGTGGCCCAAAATGCTCCAAAAGTCAACTAAGGAGAGTGCGTGTACGCTCGCGTTTCGTGCTCATTTCCTCTTGGATTTGTTTCACTTGTGCATTAAACCTTTAATGCACTTATATTCATACTATTATTATTCACTCTTAATAGTCAAAAAATAAAGCCCTTAAGTCCCTTAATTGATCGCTCGCGTAAAAACGCGTACTTCCAATTATACGCGATAGAGCGAAATTTCTAAGAAATTCTTATAACGATAGTATTACTAACTAATAATTGAGCACTTAAGCATAAAAATACCTATTTTGAAACTAATATACAAGTCTCCAATTTTTCAAACTTTTTGTATCTTCAATTCAATTATTTACTCCAATCACGTATTCACTATTCTCACTTTACGAGTTTTCAAAAATTAAATTTTGAAACAAATCACTTTAAAAATATAATTAAGCTATAGAATCATGTAATTAGGTCTAAATAGACTAGAAAATAATATTCAGAACAAATGGGCAATTAAATATTTAAATAAGCTCGAAATGGAATTTAAAATAATAAATTTTATTAGTCCTCACATGAGTCGAGTTTTAACTCCTCAAATCTCAAATTAACTTTTCTTAATCTACTATTGCTCATTCTTACTTCTCCAAAATTAATATACTCTCGATTCAAATATAGTCTCGAAAAACGTGTACTCGTTGTTCCGAACTAAACGAGTTTTCAAAAAGTAAATTTTCTAACAAAACGTTTTAAAAACATAAGAGAGGTGTTTTTTCATATAAATGGATTTTAAGTAGTCGAATTAAATAATTCGGAGAAATTGAGTAAATAATATTTAAATAAACCAGTAATATATGACAAAAATAAGAAAATTTTCGGATCCTCACATTTTACATATAATATTTTAATTTTTAAATAATTTTTATTTATGACATCATCCGATTCAATCCCAATAGAATCTGGTTGAACCCATTAACCCCTAACCTCTGAGCTCGATCGAGTCGATATTCAGTCCAGTTCTGAAAACATAGGCTACAGGCACCCATCTCGCTGGGGGCTAATGGAGCAAGGGGATGGAGCACCCCACTTAGAAATGGGGCGGGGGGGCGGGGACATGCTCCCTCGCTCCACCACCTCGCCCTGCCACCCACTAAAAAAAATAAATGTATAAATAAATATATATGTATATAATCATATATATAATATTTAATTTAATTAGTTACAAACTTATGATGATGATATTATTAGTTATATGTATTATATAATGCATATTAGTATATATAATATAATTGATATTATTAATTATACTAATAATTATATATGTCTACTAATAGAAATTATTAATTAATTATACTAAATTTACTAATACATTTATACTAAATTCTTAATTACACTTAATACAATAACACTTTTTTCTCAAAAAAAAAAAATACACAAGTACAATAATGAATTAGTGATTGTATTTGCGCTAAAAGTGAAAACTTGACTACTTTAGTTATATTTATTCCATTATTGTATTCAAATAGCTTTTGTTTGATTGTTTTTATAAGTTTAAATTGTGAAATTACAATAAATAACAACTTGATGATATGTTAATATTTTAATATTTTAATATTTATTTGCTAAAATTTGACTATAATAAAATTATATAATAAATTTTTATTAGTTTCGCAAATGTCCCTGCAAGAGAAGCAGGGCGGGGCCGGGAAGGGGCTTGGTGAGATTTCCGAGAACGACAAATAAATTTATTCTGATTCTAGGATTGATCCAACCATCAATGTACATAACAATTGAGTTTTGCTATAAAATCATTAATCCAGAGTTCAAAAAAGTAACCAAACATTGGATTACGCTTTGCTTGCAACCTTACTCCATTCCTTTCTTTTATAAAAAGGTCCAACTTTATTTCATTTGATTGTCCGTGATCCCAAGATTTTCAAAAAGTAGGATTATATGTAGAAATTCGAAGGCGAAGCTGATATTGGTCTGTTTGGTTAGCTTGATTTGTTTAAAAAAAAAAAGTCAAATATTTGTCAACTTGTATCATAAACATAATTTTCAATCACATTTTTACCTTACACACATCATACTATAAAAAGTGTTATAGAGTGTTATTCCAAATAATCTCTTGTCCAAACACATTATTTGTTGTGGGATGAGGAACGGATGAGATAATTGATATTATGATTTTTTTTAAAAGTTATTTTGCTAAATTGAATTCTAATTAAAGGTTAATATTCTAAGCACTTTTAAAATGTTCGAAAATGTACTCATTTGTTTCATTTGTTTTTTTCTCTTCTTATGATCTGTTAATATATGTTACATAATACTAGTAAATAATAAACAAAGAAAATAAAAAATAAAAATTCTTTTATTTTATTTTTTTTATTTTGTCGACACGGTAGTTTGTTCTATTCTATATCTACACCTACTCTACTAAGAGGGAAGAGATGGATTCAAATGGGTCAAGAGAGAATCTGAAGGGAACTGTGAAATTTTCAAAAAATACTAAAGGTGAATGCAAATCAAGAAATTCAATCCCAAATCTCTTGACCTGCACCAAGAAGAGCCTTAAAACTCTTTCGGCAGCCAACGACTTTAAAGCAAAGGTGGTTGGTTCTTTTACGCTGTAGTACTTGGTAAGTGCCTGATCTGTTGCACAGTGAGAAATGGACCACGTTCCCAAGTCAGCGACTGAGAACTGAAAACTGAGAAGTAGCTACGCAGGCTTGAAGTTTTAACAAATTGAGTCAACAAAGAGCAGTAATTGTTTTATTGCCCTTGCTGCTTTTATTCCTTGTCGTTGTCCCAACAAAGAGGAAATAAAAAAAAAGAAGAAGATACTGATCACTTGAATCCGAATCTGCGAATCCCAGAACGTACTTGAGCACAACAATACCATCTGCATCTTCTTCTCTCCATCCTTGCATCGGTTATTAGTAAGTTAATCTATCCCTTTTTGTTTATCAACATTTGGAGGAATTATGCTTAGAATTGCTTTTGAGAAGACTTAATTCAATTGATATATAACCAAGAGATCAATAAATCGCATTGAATCCGAAATTTTTTGGGTTTTTGACATCAAACCATTCGATCATCCAACCATCAATTTACCCCAGTTGAAGTATTCAATCTGCCGTGTCTGTTTCATTGTTACATTTCTTGCATTTCAGTTTCTTGGTCGTAGGATATATGGTTGTTGGCCAAAAGAGAAAAAAGGAAGAATCTTTTTCTGCTTTTCATTTTGGATGTGATATTGGGTTTTTGATGTAAACTTTATTGTTTCTGCCTTATTATTTTATGAAATAGAATTAGCTGATTTTAACATGAATGATATTTGAGCAGGATTGCTTCTGCTCCTGGAAAGGTTTTGATGACTGGAGGTTATCTAATTTTGGAGAGGCCTAATGCAGGGATTGTCCTGAGCACAAATGCACGATTTTATGCCATAGTGAAGCCACTTTATGAGGAAATCAAACCTGAGAGTTGGGCTTGGGTGAGTCTTTTTTTTTTTTTCATATTGTGAACTTTTCTTTCAGTAATAAGTATTTTCCACTTCATTCTTTATTATGCAAGTCATAAGTTTGAATACTATTTGTCCGAAGTTTACTCCCTGAGAAGAATGCTTGGTTCAGTAGAGGATAAAGAAACCCATATTATTTAAGAAAGTTAGAAGCCCTATGAAGTAATTAATTTGGTGCCATTTGATAACCAAATGATAAAAGGACTATGTCTTATATTAGGATGGGCTTTAACGAGGTTACTTGAATTGATCTTTTATTTGAAGCAGGCATGTTTTACCTAAGTTTCTTCATTCTTAATCAACCTCTCTCTAGTATGTAACTGTATGAAGTGTCTTTTTTCTCTACCTATGTATCTTTAACCATAATCAATTTATTTCGCAGAATTTGAATAGAGTTTGTTCTTATTAACTTTTAGGCATGGACAGATGTAAAATTAACTTCTCCACAGATGTCGAGAGAAACTATATACAAATTGTCCCTCAAACATTTAACTCTTCAGCCTGTGTCTTCAAGGTAAGTCTATCTGTTTTCACGCCTTACGTTGGTCGAACTATATCTGCTGATGTCTTTCCATTTAACTTCAATCATTTTTGTTTGCAATTTTACAATTAGATATATGTATGCTTTTGTGGAATTCTGGATTGGATTCGTGTTTTAAAAACCACATGCAAAGGATTCATGTATTAAATGGAATTCACTGGAGTAATGCCTTATGTTGTTGGCTTAATAGCAGTGCCTCAAGAAACCCCTTTGTAGAACATGCGGTCCAATATGCAGTGGCAGCAGCTCATGCAAAATTTGGCAAAGACAAGACAGATGCATTACAAAAGATACTTTTGCAAGGTAATGTCTGACATTTCACTCTTCATATTTGTTCGTTAAGCTGAATGAATATAAATGAATCCAAGTTGCTGATGGATTAGTCATGCAGGTCTTGATATTACGATTCTAGGATGCAATGAGTTTTATTCATATAGGAATCAGGTATTTCACGTTTCCTGTCATGTATCTTCAAGCCGTGACAGCTTAGTGGTGTTTAGTGATCATTTCCTTCTTGTCCCTCTTAACACAATGGCTGTCTCTAAATTAGTGGTTGACTTGAATCATATCTATGCACCAAAAAGCAATTTGCTAGTTGTTCGAGTGCCAGGTTTCATAATAATAAAAGCTTACTCAGTTTGACTCTTGCAATTGATGTTCTCTTAGCTTCCTTCGGCACAATCATCTATTACTTATATCATTGTGAGGTTCCTGTTCATGTTTAGCAAAGATTTGTAGTTCAATATCTTCTTGAGGTAGTCATGCTTTCCAGTTAACTAACCAATATAAGAATGGATTTTGTTATTTGGATCTTATTGTTTCGTATATGTCACTGTATACTTTCATAATTGAATGAAACTTTTCTAAGATCAACTTATATATGTGAGATTCTGAAGTGGAACTTTCCCTTGCAGATTGAGAAACGACTACAAAAAACTAAATTAGATCAGTCTTTTATATTAGGAAATTTTAGATATTTGAAGCTGCTGACTCTATCTAATTGAAGAAAAATGATGTACTTACTAGATTTACCAGACCCACTGATTTTAGGAACTCGTGTTAGCAAAATTTATTTTCTTTAGAACATTGATGTATACTTGTGAATTTGAATCAACCTCTGTTTCCACATAGGACTTGATAAAGTTTTTTTTTTGGCTTTCGTGCTTTGTTGGGGTGCCTTCACAAGCTCATGAATAATCTGTTCAACCATGTTACCATATACATCAACATATGTAAGTGTTCTTGGGGATTAAACCGTTCACCATATGTTTCCAATTTTGACTTTGACTCGATTATCTCCTTTTCTTACTTTTCCAAATGGAAATGACGTCCTCACAGAATTGTAGCTCAAAATTTTGTGTCATAATGGTAAACATCTCATTGGAATAGAAAAACTGAAATTTGGGAATTAACTATGGTGTGTGTGATAATGGTACAGTCGGTTATCTCTCTTTCTTACTCTTTTTTTTTTTTTTTTGATAGGCTCTCTTTCTTAGTTCTATCAATTAATTTAATGAAAAGGTAGTGCTTTATATCAGTTTGCGCGTACATTGCTTTTGTTTGGGAGGCAAGTTTTTTTGGCCTATTTTTAATACACACAATTTTTTTATAACTTTGTCTCTAATAACTTTCTAAAATACTCTACGATTTTTCAAAATATACACCCCAAAAAGTCAAAAATACACAAAGTTTTTTCTTTCTTTTCTCTTTTCTTCTTCTTCCTCCGTCGTTTCAACCCATCATTATCGGCTGGCATTCCGCAAGCACCCTTCTTCGCCCTCCCCCCTCCCCCAACACCATTTTTTTCTCTCACCCTATCTCTTGTCCTTCCGCTTTTCCTTCCTTCTTTCTTCCTCCCTCACTCCTCCTCTCCTCTCCTTTCCCCCCTCCTTCTCTTCCCTCTCTCCCTCACCTCACCCCTATTTCTCACAAATTCATAGATGCTGTGATTTTTGTCACAGACACAATCTAAATGTCTAAAGTTTTAATAAATCGAGAAAGTTTTCACCCTTTGAGATTTTAAGGGATAATATTATCTAAATTTTAATGATAAACTTAAGATGAAATTGAGAGATTTATTTATATTAGAAGGCTATTAATGATTTGTAGACTTCTATGACCCTTAAAATTACAGTGTATATAATATTTTGATACATAAATGTGCCCTAACTCTTGATACCTCGGCCAAATTACACAAACAATGACGACACAGATAACTTAAAAATAAAGATTTAATATAGAATTTTAGTATATTTAAAAAACTTCAACTTATCTCAGGTCAACTAATTCGTTTTACAATGACTTTTCTTCACTAACCAAATGCCACGAGAAATATCCATCTTTTATCACAAGGATAGTCTTTTGCATAATTGGAATATTGAAAAATCACATAATTTTCAAACCATCCTTAGCATTATTATGGGATCATCTAATTCTAATGCTCGACTCAAACTCGATTAACAGAACTGTGAAGCTAGTACCACCCATTTGTTGGAAATTTTTTGCTTTGGCACTATTATTAGTTATCCATAAAACTCTATAATGGTGTGTTCCATAGTGAGATAGACACATCCTAGATTACAATTTTTTTTTGGGAAAATTCCACTTTACTCTCCTGCGGTTTAACCTTTTTTTATATAACCCTCTGACGTGCGCAGGGTATACATATCAATTTAACCTCATTCTAATCAAGTTTTACATTTATAAACTCCTAAACACCCCACACGCGATTTATCGCAAGTATACGAATCGTGAGCGAGTATAGGGTATTAAGGGTCGATCCCACAAGGAAGATTGCAATTACCGGTACTACTAAAGCTTCTCTATTATTTAGACTATCAATGAATTATAACAAATTTTACCTACTCAAATTATACAAAATAACAAACAAAAGCTCCTTAGGTTGTGGTATCCCTAACTACTCATGCAAGTGTTATATTTGGATCATTGAATACTACATCTAGGCTAGTTATGGTGTAATTTCCTTATGCATGTGAAACCTACTTTCGTAGTGAATCAACTATACTCATAACTAATCCATACCTATTTTCATGGTTATGAAATTAGCTACAAGTTCATTTTTTCAATGAAATTACATGAAATGAATCACTAAAAACCACATAAGTGCACCTCTACTTTCGTGAGTGTACTCCCTATGTTTAGCACTTCTTGAACTAGTGTTAAATCTCAATTTTCATTGCAGAAACAACACCTTAGATAATCACAATCAATGGTACCAGATTAATCATGATTTAAAGAGCCAAAGTGCTAAATAACTTGCTCAAATCATAGCAATCAAATAACCAAATAATAAACACTAACAATTATAGAAAGTTCAACCAAACCCAAGGCTTAAACTTTAAACACACATATTGAACACAAAATCCAGAACTTGTATATTAACTAAACTTGGAATCAAATACAAAAGATAAAGAGTTTGGAAGGAATACAACCCTTGTCACATGAGCTTTCTTCCTTGCCTTCTTCATCCTCCATCTTCATCCTAATCCTTGTCACATGAGCTTTCTTCCTTGCCTTCTTCATCCTAATCTAGATAATAAACAAGAATGGAAAAGCTACACTACTCTATACTAAGCTAAACTAACACTAGGGAGATGAAAGAGCTACATTTCTACAGACTCCAAGCTTCTCCCGTAGCTCCCTCTCTATTTTTCTGCTATCTCCTCTTCTCTTGCTCTCTACTTCTTGGATCCTCTCTCTTGCAATGAATTTGGCTATTTAATGATGAAAGGTTGGTCAAGAAATGATGTTTTCAACTCCCTTTTACAGCTGGTAATGTCTCTCACATGTCTAGCATCACATGTGAGTTGGTGGAGGTGAAATTGAGTTTTACGCGTATAAAGCAGCCTTTTCTGACCAGTGATCCGAGCTGCTACAGTGCCTCGGATCCATACGGAGCTCGGATCCACTAACCCAGAAACAGCCGAGGGTTCGGATGAATAGTGGATCCGAGTGTGGATCACTTGCTCTATTTTTGGCCCAACTTCAACCGATCTTTTCTTGATGTTAGAGGCTGAACCAGCTCATGTGTAAAACACGAAAGTTGTAGCCTTTTGAGTTATCTTTCCAATGCATCAAGAATCACCTCATTTGGATCTGTGTAGGCTGAGATATGACTGAAATACCCTTGTCTGCTCATTGCCCTGTTTCAGCTTCGACCAACAGAAATTAGCTAATGTAATTCGGATTTTTGATTTTGAAAACCTTCAAACTGGATTCGGATGTCTTCACCAAAGTTGTAGATCTATCTCTTATCTTCAAATGGGTTCAAGAATCATCCCAATCCGATCATTGTAACTCAAGTTATAGCCGAAATACGAAAATGTGTCAAAACTGTCAAAATACACAAAATCCAAGTAAAAAGTGATAAAAACCTCATTTAATCACTTAAAAGCATTTTTCACCAATTATAGCCAAAATGATTCATATTCTTCCAATAATATAACCAAAGTGACTAAAAATAATATAAAATGTCATACAATTATTACGTAAATTAGTCACTTATCAAATTCCCCCACACTTAAATCATTGCTTGTCCTCAAGCAATTCACACATAATCAAATGCAATGATTCAAGAGGTGAAATAATATATGCACTTTGTCCAATTTAATTCCTCAAGACTTGGAAAATAATCATTATACAATTATTCAATTTACACTAAATACTCATAATATCAAGTAAAGGAAAGATAATTATACCCTAAATTCAACAAGTTAAACTTAATCTCTTACCCTAACTTAATTTTACAAATAAGCAAATCACATAGTCAATTTATAGCTTTCCTCCTCCTATAATCATCTTTTTCTCAAAATTCTATAACTAAGAGGGATTTATTCACACAAATTTTACTTAAATAGTGAGAATGCCTTTTTACGCGAAAATCGACACTTTTAGGTGAAGATCCCCGGTTACTCAACATTTCACTTATTCAAGTTGCTATGCATACTCTTAATTCAAGTACCTTTTTACGCGAATGTCGACATTTGTTGATGCCAACTCCCGGTTACTCGGTACATGAATCATTGGAGTAGAACAATTTTTATTTACTTTCTCTTTTTTCTCTTTTTTTTTTCTTTATTTTTCCCTCATAGAAAAAAAAATATTTATAGAAATAATCAAAGGAGGAGTATAACCTTTATCGACTATATCAATCACTTACTTGCAAAATTAAGTAAAGAGAAGAAATCTCATTAAACATGTAAAATTATAGGCATAATTTTCCTTACTTTACCAAATATACTTTCTAAAATGTAAAAATTCTAATTGCATAATACTATTTCCAAGTTAAATGAGGACTAAACCTTCCAAAATACATATAACATTTCAACAATTGGAAGAATAAGGTTGGAACAATTAGCCCTTTTTGAATGAAAATGCAAGAATTTGAAGAACTTTTGGGCCATAGTGAAATATTGGAAAAGATTTTAGAAAAAATTTCACAGAGTTTCTCCTTATAAATGGATGAAAACTCCCTGCCAACAAACCCAATTTCAAGCAAATTATCCACATGGCAAACATTTCAAACACAATTCCAACATTTCTAAGCATTTAAATCCACAAAATATCATCACATAGGCTTAAAATGCAAGTTCAATAATTTCCTCCCCCACACTTAAACTTCACATTGTCCTCAATGTGAGAAAAGGAAAATAAATAAAGAGTAAAAGAAAATACTGCTCAATTGAACTTGCGCAATCCGAATCCATGTCCAAGTGATGAATTTCCAACTGTATTTAAGAAAGAGTGGAGAGTTCACTTATTGCACCCTGAAAAAGACAAAATAAAAAAAATAAATTTCTTAAAAATAAAAGGTTGCAATCAACAAAATCATTCAATTTAAGGAAAAAGGAAAAATGATCAAGCATGTGGAACCATACAATGTTCAAGGGATAAAAACATGAAATGAGCTAATCTTTGCTAATCAAATATATGCATTAGTATCCAAAGCAAAGGGAAGCTAATTTCACACAAAAAATCCACAATCATGAACAAAATAAGTTCCATTTATACATTTTGTCATCAATGATCAAATCCCCGCAAGTACAAAAGCAATCTCAAAATGGAGGCGAACACACCAAGCCAAAATATAAATGACCTTCTTGAGAA